AAACGTCTCTATCGCTTGTAAGAGTTCACGACGCGTGGAAATAGCAAGAGCCTCTACTTAGTAAGTGGAACAGGAAACGGCTCGATTCTTCCCTGGTCACACGCGATCCCCGGTGAAACGCATATTTTCCACACGAGCCAATCTGTGCATGCCGACGATTACGGGACGTTCGCGATTTCACGGTCGTGAGGCGCGGAAACCCGCGAGCTATTAAAAATTCGAACGTTCAACCGGAGTGAAAGATTCTGATCGCCTCTTCGCGTTTAGTTCGAGATGGAAACGTCTCACCTATCGCCCTCTTCCTCCTTCCTTCTCTATACCTCTCGGTCTCTCTTTTTCCTTTTCTCTTTCATATTACTCTCTCCTCTATTTTTCTCTTTCCTCGCTGTCTCCTCTCTACATGTGTCTCTCCATTTCAGTATTTGTCTATTCCTCCTGTCCCCTCTCTCGCTGTCTCTCCTTTTCTCTCTCTACATATACCTATGTATCTCTATCTCTCTATTACAAATTTTTCTCTCTGCTCGCTTCTCTCCATATTTCTCTCTCTTCCTCCTTCTCTATACATCTCTAAGTCCATTTCTCTCTATTCCTTCCTCTCTCTCACTGCCCCTCCTTTTCTCTCCCTATACATCTCTCTACCTCTCTATTCCTATTTCTCTCTCAATTCCTCTCTCGAGAAGAGGAAGGAGGAGCGTGCATACGCGTCTCGGGTGCACCAGCAGCGTTCACCGTTCTGAATCGAAATAATCTTCGCAAAACGCTCGAGGACCGCATTTTTCGGCGATAGAGAGAGAGAGAGAGAGAGGCGTGCCACGTGCGCTGGCCCAAGGAAAAAGACGCATCAGAAAGCCCATGGTTTTGTGGCCGTCGATAAAAAGGGAGCATCCGCGAAGTGGACGACGAACAACCTCCTCCATATGCTTATACACACTTTTCTACCTAGCCTCCGCACACACACGCACGCACACCATACACGTAAGTACACATTCACTAGCAAAACCTAGTCGTGCATGTTCCTACGCACACACGTGTTGTACGTATGTACGTGCACCGTCTGTGTTCTGTTTAGCGCGACGGTGGGGATGGTAAGGGGCGCAAGTCAAGGGTGCATTGGTGCGGAGGACGAGCAGCAGCCAAGAGAGAGAAGAGGGGGAATGGGTTTTGCGGAGGACATGAAAGGGATGCGCGCCGACGCCATTCTCGTCCATTCCTCTCGCCGCGGTAGGAACACCGGGGGTGGTTACGGGGTGAGAAGGGGGGCGGGAGGAAGGGAGAGAGGGTGAGAGCGTGTTACGGCCGTTTCTACATAGAGAAAACTGTGGGGTACATACGCCGCCTGACTCTACCTGCCTGTGTATGTACGTACGTGCGTATGTGTGTGGCTGTGCGTGCGCGATGGAGACGAGACAGGATATTCTATCTGACACGGCCACGGCGAAGGCAAATGCAACCAGGGGGGGAGGGATCGAACGCGACTCGGCTGAAACTGAGCGGCGAGAACCAAGGAACCCTCTCGACTGTGATGCATGCAGGCTTTGAGCCGTGGCTCTGGCTGATTCTGCGGCCGCGTTTGGATCGGGGATTAGATAGGGCAGGGATAGACGTGCGAGAATTTTTCTCGTGTTACCTTATTCTTCATTTTCTGTGTTCCTTTTTTCTTTTGTTTTCTGTCTTTTCGATGTTTCGCGATGTTAATGGGCTAGGAAGTTTAGGGGCGGGTGGGAAACGTGGAAATAGTGTTTCGTAGGCATTGTTTGGTTCCTTTGCAATTTTGGGGTGCAAGTATGTTTGTGAAAATGAAATTTCGTAGTAGACACTTCGAGGCATTGTTTGGAAGAAAGTAAGACGCGCTTTCGATGTATTGATAGCGAAGATGCAGTGCAACGAAGAGGAGTTCTTTCATCTGTCTACTTGGTACTTTATACAAGAACGTTTTTAGAATTACCATTAATGTAACAAAAGAATGTGTTACAACTGGTGAAAGAGAAACGTTCAAAAGTATCTTCCAGTAAATTGTTTATAGTATCTTTTTGCATTATAATAAAATTTCACACTTGACAAAAATAATCTCATCAAAATTTACAAACAATTGCAAATGTCTGCAGAAAAGAATTTGAAAAAGAGAAATGATCTAATCTGTCATGCAGCTATATCTTATTCTTCTCAAATCTATAGCAATTAAACTGCTTTCCTTCGAAGCAAATTATGCAATAAATAAATATTTTTTCTAAGTCACAAACATTGGAATCTTCAAGAAACCAAAAGTGTACGTATGTGTCAACGTTCCTGAACCAGAGTTGAACGAACTATTTTATCTCCGAAATTAGAACAAGCACACCTACATAATTATATCTCTATTCCACCAAAAATGCTCCATACTTGAACAAAACCGTCTTAAAAATTCCTCCAGTCTAACCCAAGAGATCACCAAGTTATATCATCTACTCCGAAAAAATATCGCGATCAATTCCAGCAAACAAACAAGAACGTCCAGGTTCACGAACCCGAGCAATGGCGTAACCGCGCACCTGCGGAGATTTCTACCTGAGCGAGCTGCAGGAGCCGGCGCCAGGCGGAGGTGGAAGAAGCGTTCCAGGGATGTGGGCGGACAGCTCGGCGACAACAATAAGCATTGTGATTTGCGCGGGTGTGCCTGGCCTGCGATTGGTCCGCTTCCGCCACCTCCACAGCTCCGGCCGAGGGCCGGGGGTTGTGCCGCGACCGCCGCCTCCGACCGAAACAATAGACAATGCGCAGCACCGCACCTGATCCGACGGGATTCGAGCGCCAGTCGAATCGCTGGCCGCTCTCCTCTCGTTCGCTGCCTCGGAAAATCGCGTGGGCGGAGACGGGGAACGGAGTCGGCGGAATTATGGCAATGAGGGCATTGTGAATCGAACGTTCCGATCGACGGTGGAATTTCGGGGCGCTCTCGACGACTCTCCACGCGTAGAACACTATTCTGATATCGTTCATTATCCGTTTAAAATTATCACGTGTCTTAAATTAACGACTAACAATAAGCGGTTTCCTAGAAGACGACTGTCGCGTAACGCTACTTAACGTCGGCTTACCTCGCCGCAAAAAATCAACAGACTCCGAATACGTAATTCCTACGTAGAACTCTATCCATCGGAAAAGAGCGACTCACGATGCGAAAACCGGTGACGCCAGTCCCCGCTAAACGGCACACGTTACCTTCCCGACAACGTTCACCGTTCTCGCGTGCCACGTGACGCGCGTCACTCTCCGAAAAGTGGGGACCGGCCACGGCGCGTAGAACAGAGAACGTCGTCGAAGAGGTAGTAAAGGAAAAACAGGAAAAAAAGAAGCGATCACGAAGCACAGTAGCGCACGCTGCCCAACCACGGCGCTACTACTACGCCCAGATCGGTGAGCGCGGCTCGTGTCCTCGGTAGGGAGACGCCAGGGGGTGGGGGGATCTC